TTTAAATTTAGTTGGACTTTCAGAAAGGAAAAGATAATATACATGTTGAAGAAACTGACCTTAAAAAGCCCAGGGCGGCTTGGAAAACGCCGGCGAAGAAAGTAGCAGTGAGAGCTAGTTGAACATAAAGCTTAGGGTTCTCAGTAGGACTAACTTCCCTCCCTAACATAGAAGCTATTAAAAGTGATGCAACCGCCACCGTACCCACTGCCAAATCTCTGGAGCTGCCCATCATGGCATATACCAATGGTGGAACAAAGCTCGAATCTGCATTTCCAGAGCACATAATATTATTCGTCATATAACAGATTAAATATACTATCTTTATTTAAAGATAAGAGGAACAATTAACGAAACTTACATAATCCGATAATTGGTGGTAAGTTGGCCAAGCTTGCATAACTTATCCCTTGAGGAACAGCAAGGCTGGCAATAGTAATTCCAGAAATAAGATCAGATTTGAAGAACTCAAAAGTGTAGCGAGGTGCCCATTCAAGAATCGGCACAAAGTACTGTAATCCTAATAGAAACTTCCTAGACGCCGGTTGGTTTTTGAATTGCCTAAAAGGGTCATCAGGGAAAAAAGTCTCTTTGAGACCCGACTTTAGTGCCTTCAAAAATGGTTTCGGCGGAGGAATTGTAACACGATGTGGGCCTTCATAATCTGCGTTACCCATACTTTGAACTCCAGAAAATATCACTACTTATAATATAAAGACAAAAATTATATACTATAAGCTCGCTCTAGTGATATATAGAGAAAAGTGTCGGTTGTCTAGGAGCAATGCTGCAAGAAAGTAGCTAAGTTTGGAGCTGGTGACGTATTTATCTTGATAGTGAAGGAGATAAGAGACAGAATTTGGAGGTATCAGCATGTATTAATGGCGTTTCAGAGTTGGGTATTTGGTGACAATAAGGTAAGCGAACTTGGCTATTTATAGCATTAGGTGACATGGGGAGAATGAGAGTGAGTGGAAGAAAATCCAATCAAAAAATTCTGAAGGGACCCATTGACACAAATGTGTGAATAGTGAAAACGTGTATTGTAGTCAGCTTCTTTGACCTCTGGCTATCCACCTTTTAACTGTAACAGTAAGATTTCGAAGAGGAATTAATCTACCTATGATTGGTGGCGTTTAGTAAACTTGGCTTGTTCTTATTGGCTGGAAATGCGTGGTAGTTCGTTGATTGAGTTGGGGGGGATTTTGGGAAGATATTCTAAATTTGTAATTAGCAACTTTTGGGAGTTGGATAGGCATATGGTGCCAACTTCACATTAGAATTTAAAAGTGCGAAAACTAGCTGTTTGCTACTTGATTAACTTTTAATCAAATTGTTCTTTAATTACTAATTAATTACTCAGGATTTGTACCAAACAAACACTTTGTGGTGTTTAGGAATCCTGAATGATTGATTAACTATATATATATTGGTAAACGGAGTGTTTGGACCAGTTTACGCGTATCTCAATTAATCACTGAAGTATATTGAATACCTTACAAACTTAAGGAATCTAATAAGTCACAATATTATTGTAGTAGCTGTCCTTAAGTTTTGAATCTAAGAACTTAATGAAAGGAGTAAACCTTCTTAACCGTCAGGCTAACCCTTTGAGATTAAAAGAAATAAAGAAAATTTTGATTTGCTTAAATGAGATATCAACTCATCCACTTGGATCAAACTGTTCGTTTTGGTTCATAAACAAAGCAAAAAGTTTTAACGATTTTAATTGATAAAATCGGCATGTTGTATCGAATATTATTTCATCTTTATATAACCAAATACTTAAAATTTGAATATATTCATCGTATGAGATTACACAATTAGAATTTAAACATCTGGTGTTATCATGCTGTAGTTTGCAAACTTCCAAGTAATTAATTAACACTTAATCAATTCATCCTAGTCGTCAAAAGAGAGTAAATCGGAGAAAGAAAAGAAAAACATTAACCACCGTTAAGTGATTCAGCGGTCAATTAGAATTCTTGAATGTATTATTTAAGAGGTCTTGAGTTTGATTCACCTAAGTTATTAATAGAGGTAACCAATAAGAGAATTTTTTCTGTTGTTAATTTTAGTTGAGGTATACGTAAGTTGATCCAGATATCTCCGTAACAAAATAAAAATAAAACATGAGACACATTTCATGTGTGGAAAATCGTGTGTGCAGTCAACCGAGGTGTAATATGTTTCATGTGGGTAGTGCCGATGATGATGAACCAAATACTTTTTGACTTCCATTCTATAGATAGGTATAAGACTATAAGTATAAGATATTTATAGTTATTTTCTAAGGAGTAATATCATTACCTCCCCTTAGGTTTCTATAAACTATCAGTTGCATCCCTGTGGTATAAGAAACGATCAGGACCTCCCTTCACATTTGAATAAATTATCACTTACCTCCCTCATCTCCTTTTTTCTAACGGGAATTGTTGATAGAACCTGCGAAAAACCCATTTTGTCCTTGTGGAATAATAATCTAATGTTCTGTTACATATTTGACCTTGACAAATTAAGTTTTTTGAAAGTTTTTGTAAAAAAACAAATATCCCCAGATATTGTTAACTAAAATATAAAAACAAATTACATACAATATTGAAAATTATTAAAAAAAACTACAATTTTTCAGATTTTTTATTTCAATTTTTCATACTAATTTTTTAGAGAAAAATTAAGATTTTTAATTTCATTTGTCCAGATTTTTTATTTCAATTTTTCAGAAATTTTCATCTCTTTTTTTTAATTGTTCAGTTTTTTTTTTTTTTTTTTTTTTTTTTTTTTTTTTTTTTTTTTTTTTTTGTTCAAAAAAATTATTTCTATTTTTCAGAATTTTTTATTTCAATTTTTCATATTAATTATTGTTGATACAAGATTTTGTACGATTATACAGATTGTACAAAAGAAAGAGCGAAAATAAAAAGATTACAATTATGATTGAAATGCAACTCCGATATTCTCGCGGTTGAACGCTAAGATTGTGCCAAGATTGTTGTCGATCTGATCTCTCTTGGATCTGAGGTTATCTGTGAGCTGGTTGAGCAACTATCGAGATTGGTCGCGACTAACTTATGCTGGGGTCGAGCTACATCTCGACAAGCTTTTGTTGGGTTGGACAATCGGTTGAATCGAGCTGATTTTGAATTGGGCTATAATCTCGCTGATCTTTGACTACTCTGAGCTTGATGGATAAATCACACACAACAATTATTTTATAAAATTTTCAGATTTTTAATTTCAATTGTTCAGTTTTTTAAAATCTTTTCAGATTTTTTAAATTATTTTGTAATTCTATTTTGTGTTAAAAATCTATAGTTACAACTTTGCCCCTTGACTTAACAGTTGGCATTTACAAAAAAGGAGATGAGGGAGGTAAGTAACAATTTATTCAAATGTGAAGGGAGGTCCCATAAAGTTTCTTATACCACAGCCCACAGCGATGCAACTGACAATTTGTGGAAACCTTAGAGGAGGTAAGTGATAATACTCCTTTTCTAAATTAAATTCGACCATTGTAAACATGTTATTTGTCCAAGTGCTATTATCTAACTTCATACATGCAAATACGCTATTCTAAAAATGCTTCTACTTTTTCTTAATTTATATATATAACTTTTTAAATGGTCAAGTAAATCTTTTGATCATATAATTAAGAGTTAAAATATTATTGAAAAGGTTCCCATGGTTAGAGTGTCTATATCAACACAAATTTGTGAATCTTCAGAGTCGTTGGGAGCCACTAGTTAGCCTTAACAAATCAGATCTAATGGGTACGCATAAGGCAAGGGCATTAAGCTCCATATACGTATACTTTCATGTGTTTTAACTTAATTTTGAAAATTAATTTGATCAATTAGTAGACAATAAACATATATACGAAAATATCAATGTTTAGTGACATATGCTTATGTGCATTTTAACCATATTAAAATGAGTTATATGTAGTATCATTGTTGGTGTAGAAATATAGTGGATTTTTTTTTTTTTTTTCTGATAATCGGGATGTCCGAGCCTACTTGTATGCACCTTAACTAATCCTTAAGATCCATTGAACATCCTACAAGTACAAAAGATCAAATAAGTTTTATTGTGGTAGGGGACCACGTGTTTTAACCTAGAAAATCAAAGAATGGATAATAAACCTCTTTGACCGTCACGCTAACCTGTTGGGGTTAATATAGTGGATTCTTGATTTGGTTCATATGACATGCTTACTCTCATCTCTTTTTGTTATTGCAAAAGATTAATTAAATATGCTCAATAATTCTTTGTTTTTGATTATGAAATTGACTTTCAATTATGCTGATCATGCAATATGTTTACCTCATCCATGTGTAAAATGATGGCAACAAAGTTAAAATGATGACACCATGGATGACAAAGATTCATGAACTTGATGATCATAATATTAATAATTCATTCATTTTTTGATTTATCTTGCTCCGGCAGCTTTGCCAATAAAAAAAGCCATGCATATTATTCATTATACTATTGAAGAATTCACTGAAGTGGGAACTTTATCAAATTAAAAATTAGAGCAGAACATCATTCTTGACCTTATGGTTGAAAAGCCTTGAAATTAGCCCATGATAATGATAAGTTTCAATAATGGTGATTCCTATCTAACTCATTAGAGATATTGGAATTTGGAAGAAGTTAAGAACCTCCCCAGATAACACTTCTTTGTTTCCTTTGTCCTCTTGTAATCTTTTTTCCACCACTTACTCCAATTAAACCATCTTAATGAAATCTAGAATGATTGTCACTACTGATACTATAATATTATTATAACATGGAAACACAAAAAGTTTGATCCTTGAAACAAAGAAAACCATACTATTTTATATTGATTCCAGAACGATGACTAACGTATAAGGAATGTTCCTGTTTCGGCTGTCCACTATCTAAAAAGAATAATACTTACGTATATTCACATTTGAAAGAATATAACCAAAAGGATTAAAATACCAAGTCGGAGATGAACGCTTCTTCGTAGTTTATTATTAGAATTTTAATTATACGTAAAGATGTCTCCCTATATGGCAGTTTAAATTATTATTGAAGTAAGCATGATGATGACGAATAATAATAAAGAACTGGTTTAAAAGCCTGAATGAGGAGAAACGGAACGAATTCGAAACATGCAAGAGAAAAGCATGTCATCAACAATGGAGTTGGCAAAGGCAGACCATGTGAGAAACTTCTCCCATTAAGTTGGTCGTGGCGGCTGCTGTTACGAGCATCATCACCATATGAAATTATTCGATCAATAAAGTTGATAATCGAGGGCCCTATAACATCATGAACCTTTGAATTTAATTTCCAAGGGAACCACCCAATAATTCCATTCCAAAAATATGAAAGAGAGATCCATACGAATGATGAATAGATATATGCATGGAGATTAAAATAATGGTGTGGCATCCATATTTAGAGAATGAACACCAACGACTCGCACGTGTAAAATGCTAATATGTTCTTAGAAATTACATATGAATGATTCATGAGAAGTATTTATGGTGCTGAGATGATATATGTTCGATGAAACATAAATAAAAGATTTACAAGAGAGGTTTTTATAGTGGTTCGCAAAGGCGAACCCACCCCAAGTGACCCCACTTAGGTTTTATTTTTAAATTTTTTTTTCAATTTTGCCCCATAAAAATCTAAATTACAAAATTATAGTAAATTAAATTAATTAAAAATTTTGACTTTCTCTAATAATATCTTTCCCCCAATCCCTTTCTCTTGTCCAACGTGCCCTGCTCCATCACTCCAATCCCTATTTTTCTCTAATTATATATTAAAATTTATGCAATAATTTAATTTTGTGTTTAGTTTAGTTATGATAAAAGATTTACTTAGCTTTACGAATGAACTTTCTCAAGCATTA